CACCATTTGGTTGGGTTTCGTTGCGTGGAAGTTCACAAGTAGGGGGATTATTTCAAATATTTTTCCAATCCTATAAGAATGTTAAGGAAGAATTCTTTAAAATCTAACTTACTCACAGTGATCCGAGCTTGGAATGTGTTTTCCATTTAGGTGGAGAGCCTAGATTCCCTTTTTATTGGCAACCCAACCTTTGAAATTTTCTAGCTCAGAGGGTTTAGAGCTAACTCCATCCGAGACGAAGGATATAGAAAAGTTACAAATGCTGCCCCGACCTTTAGAAAGCAAATCGGTTTTATTGCTTGCTGGATCAAAAAGTCTTCGAGAGGATTTAGAAAGTAAGTAATAGTCATAATCTTTGCAGTTTTGTGAAGATTGTTTACATTTGGCGCTAGAAGGAGGGCCTGGTAAAATTTCTCCTCTGATAACCTTATGGTCTCAACTCGGAGTCAAGCTCATCGTTCAACATCCGTTGTTCAACACAACATGTCCAATGTGGAAGACAACACCACTTTACGACGATTGCTTAAACAAGTAGAGTTGATGTGACAGTAACACACAACTGCATTAGAAGCCATGCGTAACCAACATGAAACCGATTTACGAGAGTTACGTGTTGAGAACGCCACTCTTCGAAATAAATGGCAACAACATCGACCACCACCAAATCAAACCAGCCATGCTCCTCCCATAGTCGAAGAATATCATTCTTCATCAGACCCCACTTATCTTTCTGAATCCACCCCCACTCATTGCTCTCAACACACCCATGCAACGCATTATCAAAATAACACTCGTCGACATCCTTTTGTTCATGGCATAATGGAAGTTCCTCTCCCTACAAGTTGGAAAGCGTTGAACATTGAGAGATACGACTTCACTACCGATCCAGGCGAGCACATTGATGCGTACGTTACACAAATCAACTTATACACTAACAACGATGCCATAATGTGCAGAGTTTTTCCCACTTCATTGAAAGGGGCTGCTCTTAGTTGGTACACTCAACTAGCACCAAAATTGGTAGACAACTTTGACACATTAATCTGTCACTTCTCAGCTCAATAAGCCACTAGCCGACCTCATCATATTACCTCGGCCGCGCTATCCAACTTGCGACAACAAGACAATGAGTCCCTGCGACATTTCATGGAATGCTTCGCTGACGTTTTCATCAAAATTCGTAACCTCAATCCTGAAGTCGCATTGCACTCTATGCTTATATGGCTTTGAAGCCAGGCCCTTTCATCGACAGTCTTTGCCGACATTAACCTTTGAACATGGATGAACTTCGTGCACGGGCAGCCAGTTATATTCAAATAGAGGAACACACAGAGTTCCGCAACCAAGTCTGAGATGGTGTCTCGATGAGAGGTGACAACATCAGAAGAGATAGGCCAAGGACAAATGCTGACTTGAAAATGAAAAAGGCCCGTCAAACGCGAGGTCCAAGGTATGACTTTTATACACCTCTAAATACTCGAGTGAATATTCTGGAAGAGGCTAACCATGCAGATCTTATATCTCTACCACCACCGGCACACAATTCAACCAATACTGATAAGAGCAAACAATGTCGATGCCATATAAATTATGGGCATACGACAGAGGAATGTTGGACTCTTAAAGACCAAATTGAAGAATTATAATCCAGGCAGGGCAACTCGAACAGTTCGTACAACGTAACTCAAACCATAGAGGTGGGTTTAGAGGCCGAGGTAGAAGACGTGGTCGCCACTCACATTATCAGTCCTGATTCGAGTAGAATACTTACAATCCATCAAATCAGCGTGAGGAGATCAAGCCAAATACTAACAATGCCGAGCAACAACGGATAGATAAAACCCTAGATGGAAGCAATATCCGAGGTGTGATCAACACTATTGCTGGGGGTTTTGCAGGTGGGGGAAGTTTCAACTCCGCTAGAAAATGACACTTATGTAACATCCTTAATATCAATAATCTTGGCAATCCGACACCCTAACTTGCAGTCCACAACCCTCCGATTTTTTTTTATGATGGCGACTATGAAGGAATAAGCCTCAATCAAGATGATCCAATGGTCATCTCGGTAGAAGTTGCCAATTGGGATGTCCAAAAAACTCTAATTGATCAAGGAAGTTATGTCGATGTTCTGTATTGGCCAACCTTTCTCAAGCTGGACATCCCGCATGACATGATCCAACCACACTTTGAGCCATTATTTGGCTTCTCAGGTGAGCGAGTTCATACTCGTGGATTCATTGAATTATTAACCTTTTTTGGCACAGCACAAAATTCCAAGAGAATCCTGGTAAAATACTTGCTAGTGAACACCCTTACTTCGTACAATATCCTCATCGAAAGGCCCACCTTAAACCAACTAGGAGCAGTCGTCTCTACACCCCACCTCGCCATGAAATTCCCAGGGGCGGATGGGCAGATAGTGATAATCAAAGCAAACCAGCAAATGGTAAGGAGATGTTATGCTGAGAGCTTGAAGATTGCTCCAACCAAATTTCAACATGAATCATCCTCATCTCCTGTCATGGCTCACATCGATACAGATGCTACAGCGGACCTAGATCCCCGAGCTAATATGCACAACCGACGTCCAAAGTCAGTCGATGAACTAATTGAATTTCAAATTGGAAAGAAACCAAATCAGTGCACCAAAATAGGCAAATATCTTGATGCTGACGTCCAAAATACAATCATGTCCATCTTACTTAAAAATACTGATCTTTTTTCATGGTGTAGTGCAGACATGCCGAGTATAGATCCCAACTTCATTTGCCACAAGTTGTCCATTTACAAAGAAGCAAAGCCCGTGTCACAAAGGAAAAGAAAAATAAGGGGTGAAAAGAGGGAAGCTGTAAAGATTGAAACACAGAAACTATTACAAGAAAACTTCATGAGGGAGGTCAAGTACACCACTTGGTTGGCCAATGTCGTTATGGTCAGGAAGTCAAATGGTAAATGGCGTATGTGTGTTGATTATACTGACCTAAATAAAGCATGTCCAAAAGAAGCATATCCACTTCTTAACATTGATAGGTTGATAGATGGAGCCTCGGGGTACGCCCTACTCAACTTTCTTGATGCCTACTCAGGTTACAATCAAATCTTAATGTACCCCTAGATGAAGAACACACAACATTTATTACGGAACAAGAAAATTATTGCTACCGTGTCATGCCCTTTGGGCTTAAAAATGTAGGAGCTACCTATCAAAGACTCATGGACAAAGTTTTCTCTGAACAAATTGGTCGTAACCTTGAAGTATATGTGGATGACATGGTCATCAAAACAAAGTCAATTGAAGAACACGTCAAAGATTTGGAAGAAATCTTCAAGCAAATCAAAAAACACAATATGAGACTGAATCCCGAAAAGTGTGTATTTGGAGTACATGGTGGAAAGTTTTTAGGATTCATGATTACTTGTAGGGGAATTGAAGCGAATCCAGATAAATGCCAAGCACTAATCAACATGAGAAGCCCCCAAAACCACAAAGAGGTACAGAGATTAGCAGGTAGACTTGCTTCCCTATCCCGTTTCATTCCTAAATTGACAAAAAAGGCTAAGCCAATTTTTAATTTATTGCGAAAACCAAAAAAATTTCATTGGAATGAGGAGTGCGAACAAGCCTTTGCTAATTTCAAGCATTTTCTTTCTACTCCACCGATTTTGTCTAAACCTAGCAATCAAGCTGATCTCTTACTGTACCTTGTTGTGGCTGACAATGTTGTTAGTGCCGCCCTTGTCCAAGAAGACAATAAAAAAAAAATCCCCATCTATTTTGTCAGTCGTGTTTTGTAGGATACCGAGAGAAGATATCAGACAATTGATAAATTAGCCTTGGCCTTAGTAACTTCAGCTTGGCGGCTATGACCTTATTTTCAAAGCCACCAAATTGTGGTGAAAATAGACTATCCAATCAGACAAATACTTCGAAAACCTGACTTGGCAGGCCAGACGATAACCTAGTCAACTGAATTGTCTGAATATGGAATTAAATATGAAAGTTTAGGCCCTCCTTCCAGTGCCAAATGTACTTACCGGAATCAGGTCGACATATTAAGTCGACTATTCCTGTGAGTTCGTCTCATCTTTTCGTCATTTCAGGGGTGATTTCTGATCTCTCCAAGCCTTGGATGTACCTGCAAAAGGGACTCCGACGATCAAGTTAGTTGCATGTCTCTTCCAAATATTCTTATATATCATCCTACCTAAATTGAGGCCGATTGAGTTAACGTTCCCATAACTTTTGGGTTTCACTACAAGAAAAATCAACATTATCTACGGAAAAAATCTGTAGATAATGATGAAAATCCGTAGATAACTGATAATTATCTACGGAAAAAATCCGTAGATAATAAGGTCGTAGATAACGTTATCTACGGAAAATTTTCCGTAGATAATGTTATCTACGGATTTTTACGGATATAAAATTTATCTACGGATGCGTTTATCTACGGATGCTTTTTTCTATGGAAATTTCCGTAGGTAACTTATCTACGGAAATTTCCGTAGATAAGTTACCTACAGAAATTTCCGTAGATAAGTTACCTACGGAAATTTCCGTAGATAAGTTATCTACGGAAATTTCCGTAGATAACTTATCTACAGAAATTTTCGTGGATGTTATCTACGGAAATTTCCGTGGATAAGTTATCTACGAAAATTTCCGTAGATAACTTATCTACAGAAATTTCCGTAGATAACTTACCTACGGAAATTTCCGGTCTTCCTATTTTTAATCAGGCAATTCTGGTTTCCCAATTTTGATCCAACCATCAAAATATCTAACAACTCAGATTCGCCACAGATTAAAACAATAAAAAAACAAAAAAAAAACAACAATTTCTCTTCGATTATCAACACAACTACACAAGCACCAGCAACACAACTCAAAAACAAGATCCAATCAGAAAAAAAAATGTAACCATTAACTGATTGTTCCTCAACTGGAAATAAGTAACCATTAATTGATTGTTCCTCAACTGGAAATGGTTTTACCAAGTGTTTTTACTGTTATTTAACCCCAAAATTAGAAACAAGACAGCTTATATGATAAAAACTACAGAAAATGATGCAGTACACGAGGACGTTACTTGAAAATTTCACTGGAAATGCAGCAGTATGACCATTAAGTCTAAGTTTTGCCCACAAAGAAACACGGAGGTTTTATTTATTTCTATATCCAACTGGTGAATTTAAATTTTATTCAAGAGAATATTAAAGGAACACATAATTATTACCTGACGTGAGTAATGCTCAGCATCCCTCTTCATGGCAGCCATTTCAACTCTCATTTTTTGCATTTCAGCCTGAAACAGAGAAACCAAACGTATCAATAATGGGAAGTTCAACTTGACCTGCAAGACAGGAGGTTATTATCTCAAATAAATTTCACACGAAAATAATTAAAAAAAGCATGCCTCTAATGAAGATAGCTTGTTTCCAGCTATGTGCCCAACCATAGCCAGGTTCAACTATGACCATGGAAATTTTTTCCTCTTGCATTTTCTTTTGATAAAAGAAATGGCATTGAGGTCTAGTATCAGTAGTATGTATTTCAAAAGAATCAGAGGGACAAACATAAAAGTAGTAAGTGTTTCAATTATGTAAAGTAGCAAAAACACGGGGAACGGTCTACTTCTAAACAGTGACATTTAATATGCATAAAAGATAGAAAATAATCAAAATATGTGCTCTAGTTATATTTATACAGAAAATCGAAAGTGCTTTGAATTGGTGGCAATAAACAACAAACGACATTGACTCTAAATATGCTATACACTTATCGATAAACTTTGTAGACAGTATGAAATATAAGGAAACCTAATAAAGTTAAAAAAATGGCCTACTTTCTTCTCAATAATCTGTTTAAATACCTGTTTTACTTGATTTGCCTCTTCTGGTGACTTTTTTTGTTCCCGGCGCACACGGGCTTCCATGTCTTGTAGTTCTTGATTTAAAGTTGCACATTCAACCTGATAATAGATGTTACCAAAAACATTTTAGCAGATTTTTCTTTCAGAATAGTAATCACTAATCAGCCTTCACATTCAAAAAGGAAAAAACGTTAACTATTTATTCATGTACCTCAAGAAGTGCCACCTTCTGCTCAAGTTCTGTGGCTTTAGCTGTCCTCTCATCTGCTACTCTCTGAAGAGAAGCAACTAATAAATCAATGTTTATATTTAACCTAATGTCAATAACAATTCCACAAGCAAAAGAGCTTGACAGGGGGAACCAAAGCAGGCTTGTTATTAACTCCTGATTTATCATTGTGGAATTGTAACTATTGCTCATTAATATTTTTAATGGTAAATCAGATATCTAAAAAAATTAAATAGCAAGACCAAAAAGCACCATTGATGACAATATGATGCCAAACTTTATCAAAAAAGCTTGAGGGAATGTAGTCAGACTAACATAGAAGCATTGAACAAGCTGAGATGGTCATACCTCCTATTTTCAAATTTAATGTGACCAAACACGTAACATTTCTGCTGATAAAAATTATTTTATAATCATCTCAAGACTCAGTATACAAAACTCTTCCCTATTCTTGGATACCCCAGCATGTATTCAAGCATACTTTCATGCATACCAGGACAATTATTTCGATATAGAATTGTATATATGACCTTTCTATTGTTCTTCTAATAGTTTTGTTAATGAAGTAAAGTAGTAAACTTTCTAGACTTATGATAGAGAAGGGGCAGCTTTGCTTAATATGATTTGCATCCCATTTAAAAATTAAACCATAGCAAGTGCTTACATTACCTGTATCCTTGCAAGTGCAATTGATGACTCAACTGCTCGGTGCTCCAATTCTACTTCTCTTTCCATCGCAGCCTGTTATACCAATCACAGAATCACTAAAATATAATGCAAAACACAGAAACTTGAGAATAAATAATTTAAGTTGCAGACCATTTTGGTAGCATTATGTGCAGCGCGCTCCTCTTCTGCTCTTCGCTCAGCAGATGCTAGCTCCTCTCTTAGAGCCTAAAAGATCAGCAGTTTTAATATGCAAACAGCTTCATCACATGAATGGGAAATATTGTATAATTATAGTAATCTTACATGGATCAGAGAACCTACTTACCTGCATCATCCTTGTTTCTGTTAGTTCTCGATTTCTCATCATTGATTCCATGCTTGCCTGGTAAAATATGACTAGTGTTACTCACAGTAAGAAAAACAAGACCGTGAAAGAATAGAAGCATATTTGCTTCAACAACATGAAAGACAAATCTACAATCTACCCTGAGAAATATAGCATGGGTAAGCAGATGCAGTTGCTTGGCAATCATATTCATCAAAATGAGAACCACGCCCATATCTTCACTGATTTCAGTCCCAATAACTGATATAAGAGAATTGTAGTAACTTAAAAAGACAACAACCTATTTTTTTTCCCAGTGGCAAAGATGAATACAGTTCGGGTTGTTCTCGCTTTGGCTGCTCATTTTGGTTGGGACTTACACCAGTTGGATGTGAAGAATGCCTTTCTTCATGGAAATCTGGAAGAGGAAGTGTACATGGAGATTCCCCCAGGTTTTGAAGTGCAAAATGAAAGAAACAAGGTATGTCTCCTAAAGAAAGCATTGTATGGTCTTGAGCAATCCCCTAGAGCATGGTTTGGAAGATTTACAAAAGTAATGGTTTCCTTGGGATACAGACAAAACCAAGGAGATCATACTCTATTCATAAAGCACTCTTCTACAGGTAAAATCACTCTATTGCTTGTCTATGTGGATGATATGATTATTGCAGGAGATGATGAAACAGAAAAATTGGCATTAAAAGAAAAATTGGCAGCCCAATTTGAAATGAAAGACCTAGGAAAACTCAAGTATTTTCTTGGAATAGAGGTTGCTTACTCCAAGAACGGAATTTTCATCTCCCAAAGGAAATATGTACTTGATCTCCTCAAAGAAGCAGGAAAGCTGGGATGTAGAACCTCAACAGTTCCTATAGAACAGAATCACAGAATTGGAAGTGAAGAAAGTGCTCCTGTAGAAAAGGCTCAATATTAGAGATTGGTAGGAAAATTGATTTATCTATCACACACAAGACCAGACCTTGCTTATGCAATTAGTGTAGTGAGCCAATTTATGCATGATCCAAGAGAAAGACACATTCAAGCAGTTGACAAAATTCTCCAATACTTGAAGTCAAGTCCAGCAAAGGGGCTATTGTTCAAAAGGGAAGACACGTTGACTATGAAAATATATATTGATGCTGACTATGCAGGTTCTTACTGACAGAAAATCTACTTCTGGGTATTGTATGTTTCTTGGAGATAGTCTGATAACGTTAAGGAGCAAAAAGCAAGATAGAGTATCTCGTTCTAGTGCAGAAGCTGAATTCCGAGCCTTTGCTCAAGGAATGTGTGAAGGACTCTGGATGAAAATCATTTTGGATGACCTTAAAGTCAAGGTGGACAACCCCGTGAACCTATACTCTGACAATAAGTCTACCATGAGCATTGCCCATAATCCAGTACAACATGACAGGACCAAACACATTGAGATTGACAGACATTTCATCAAAGATAATCTAGACAGAGACTTTGTGATTACAACACGTGTTCCTACAGAATTTCAGATAGCAGATATTTTTACAAAAGGGCTCCCTCAGGGTATATTTCAAGATCTTGTAAGCAAGTTGGGAATGATTGATATTCATTTACCAACTTGAGGGGGAGTGTTGTAATTAGAGGAAAATCTTCGTAATTAGAGAAAATATCTGTAGAATCTTCTAGTTTATTTTTTAGCATATTTTTTCCTTATTTCCTTATTTTGGAAGATTAGATTGTTACAAATAGGTGTAAGGAAAATGTAATAGGTATGAATGATAATAATAAAATCATTCTCCTTTTCAAGTTGCATCAACCTCGCCGTTTATGTGTATGGTATTGTTATTACAGGCAACGATCAACAAGGAATTAGAGACTTGAAACAATATCTTTGTCAACAGTTCCAAACTAAGGACCTTGGCAAACTTCGATACTTTCTAGGAATTGAAGTTGTTCAATCCAAGGACGATTTGGTACTATCTCAAAGAAAGTATGCAATTGACATCTTGGAAGAAACTGGCCTTCTCAATGCTAAAGCAAAGATATAGAAGGCTAGTTGGAAAGCTAAATTACCTTAGGATCATTCGACCCAATATTACCTTTGATGTTAGTGTGGTGAGCGAATTTTTGAATTCTCCTTCCCAAGACCATTGGAATGTCATTATTCAGATTCTTAAATACATTAAGAAATTCCCAGGCAAAGTCTCATTTATGAGGATAAGGGACACTCTGACATAGTTGGATATTCAGATGTTGATTCAACCTATTGACCCAATGATAGGAGAACCGCATCTGGATGTTGATTAGTGGAAACCTAATTTCTTGGAGAAGCAAGAAGCAAAATGTTGTAACAAGATGAACAGCTAAAACAAATTACAGGGCCATGACATTAGTAACTTGTGAGCTCATATGGTTGAAACAGCTCCATAGAGAACTCAAATTTGAAGAAGTGTGATAACCAGGTTGCAACTCATATTGCCTCTAATCCAATTTTTCATGAAAGAATCAAGCATATTGAAGTTGATTGTCACTTCATCAGAGAAAAAATCAAGTCAGGAGATATTGTTACAAGATTTGTCAACAAACCAACTAGAACATGTCTGCACTAAACCCCTAAGAGGGCCTAGAATTGAATACATTTGTAACAAGTTGGACACATTTGACTTATATGCTCCAGCTTGAGGGGGAGTCTTAAGAATCTTAGATATCATCTTATCTTGATAATATCTTATCTTGATTTTAAATATAGTATGTAACGATAATATATTAGAGATTATAGGAAATCATATCTATTGTAATTAGAGGAAAAATCTTCCTAATTAGAGAAAATATCTATAGAATCTTCTAGGATATTTTTTAGAATATTTTTCCTTATTTCCTTATTTTAGAAGATGTTACAAATAGGTATAAGGAAAATATAATATGTATGAATAATAATAATAATAAATTTTCCGTAGATAACTTATCTACGGAAATTTTCATAGAAAACTGGACATTATCTACGAAAAAAATTTCGTAGATAATATTTCGTAGAAAATTAAATATTATCTACGAAAAAAATACCGTAGATAATATTCCGTAGATAATTAAACGTTATCTACGGAAAAATTTCCGTAGATAATATTCCGTAGATTATAACAGTTTTTCTTGTAGTGTTTGCGGTTTTATTGAATAACTTCTTGGACACATCAGCATTGTTTTGCCAATTTATAATTTCTTCTCTGTAACTCTTTGGCCATGTCAGCATATATAACCTCACTGATCTCTGCTTATATTTTCCTTGTTATTAAATAACGAATATGGTATAGTAAATCGCTAGTCTATATGGTTAAACTCAGTTAAAGCTATTATTGTTGATGAGATCGACATTCAATATCAGTACGGTACATATACTATTTATCATATCAGATTCTAATAACTAATGTGAGGAATTTTAGTGTCTTGTTTTCCATTGGGTTATTGTTATGCTGATGTGGGTGGTGAGCAATTATGGATTAATGTGTTGAATACAACTCTTTAACATGGAATCACTCCTTTTTTACTGATTATTTGTATTTGACTGTCAGGGGCACGCTCTCTAATGTTGGGATCAACGGTGGAGAGCCTTTCGATTTGGACCTCAGAACTCTAATGTTTTTGAATTGGATGTTGTCACAGGTATGAGTTAAGTCAAAACTCTAATGTTTTTGAATTGGACGTTGTCACAGGTATGAGTTAAGTCTTTAGATAATTTTTTTTTTATAAAAAAGTATTTTTTTTAAAGATAATTAAAGAGTTAACATTTCAAGGATTGAGCAATATAAAAGAAATGAGTTAAAACCCCGGTCAAACACCAAAAATTAAACTAGTCCCTCCATAAGAGAAATTATTACATGATGCAAGATCATCGGTACTAATCACTTATTTTCATTAAATTTCATTTCTATGTTTTTTTATAATATTAAATCTAGGATCTTTTCCCCTTAATTTTTAATTTTGTAATTATATTTTCTCAATTTTATACAGTCTATATTTTTACTCATATATATATATATATATATAAGGAAGGTCATAATAACACCAATGTAACTTTTACAAAGTGTTACATCGCTCAATAATTTTATATTAAATGTGAATTTTGTAAATTCAACTGTTAGATTGAAAGTTTTTTACTCTTATATCATATATACAAAATTTTATAATAATCCAAGATGATTTGATACTTCATTCTTATAAAAAAAAAATTGACGTAATATATACATTTCAAAATATAGTAAAATATGAATACAAAAATTAATATAAGCATATAAAATGATATGAACTTTCAATCTAACAGTTGGATTTATAAAATTCACATTTAATATAAAGTTATTGAGCGGTGTAATACTTAATAAAAGTTACACCGATTTTATTATTAGAGCTGTCAAAATGGGTAACCCGGCTCGGCCTAGCCCAGCCCACCACGCCTTGAGCATTTGGTGGGCCAACCCAACCCGACTCATTTATTAGTGAGCTCAAAAAAATTGAACCCGGCCCGGCCCACCATGGGTTGGCGGGTTAAACGGGTTGGCTCACCTAATTTAAAAAGAATGTAATTTTTTTTAATATACAACTAAAGCCCAAAATCATAATTAAATGATAATTCTAAATACAATCAAATAAAATCTAAATAATCTCATCTAGACAAATATAATTCAAAATCATCTCAAATACTCTTTTGGGCCCAATAATTCAAATATAATTCAAACCCTAATGCTCATTTGGGTAATAGGACCCAATAAACTGAAAGCTGAAGCATAAGTTTTTTTTTTTAACGGGTTGGTGGGTCAGCCCGGCTCACCACGGGTTCAACCCGGGTGAGCCGGGTTCAAAATTGGCCCGTATTAAAATTTTCAATTTTTTTTTCGCCCAACCCGGCTCGAACCCGTGGTGGGTTGGGTTGGCTCACCGGGCTGAGCCCATTTTGACAGCTCTAATTATTATAACCCTCCTATATATATATACATAAGCTCATAAGTGTAGGTTTTTCTTTTTCAATCTCAACTGCATTATTCAACTCAATTAGTTTTCAAACACACTCTAAATGTGTTGCATATACGCGAATATTTCAAAAGAATGAGTA